ATATATATATATATATATATATATATATATATATATCGGACACTTCCTTGTTCCTACAATCAACTCCACTTAATTTGTCTAGTACATCCGCGCTCACTATATCACGCGACTCCTTTGTTCCGCAAACACTCAAATCACGTGACACAACAGTCCCGCTCGCAACCTAGACCGACAATAAGTCGGTTCATTTTTGTACGCGTTGGAACGATTCTAGATATTATACACACGTCAAACCTCCCTAAATATTGGAAGACACGACAGTCTACACACACTCCCGCGCGCGCATGGTGCAGGAGGTCAACCAAACTCTTCAAATCCACGGAGAATTACGTAACACGTGTTACAGCTATAGTGCGGGGAAAACACGTTCCCGCCACCCGGACTTTCACGAAGGAACCCTCGCAAATGATTTGCTCCACATTTCGCATTGCATTTATCTTATACATGGTGCAAACGGGCTAATGTGTAGATGTGATCTTCCACTAGAACTTCGCTCACTCTAGTTGACCTCAAAGCCTACATGGTGCAAACTTTACTCTAAACATAGCAGTCACTCGGTGTGCGTTTCGCTGCGACTAACAAACTGATGATGCACTCACAAATGTCTATGAATCAGCTACAACCACCGTACGACGGGTGCGCGGTCATTACAGCTGACAATGATGATGCCTAACACGATCGACTTTTTGACGTTATTGGTGGGTTTGCCGTTATTCCAGCATGAGAGGTACTCGCGTATTCGCTTGCTAACTTACCGCGTCGGACGCTTGACATGCTTAGCTTTCCAATCTTTGCAGGCAGCAACACTACGACAGTGTTTTATAAGAAAACCGCTGCTCGATTTTAATCTCAACGCCAAACAGCCGGTTCCCACCAAAAGTATGGTTGTGTATACACTTTCCAGCTTATTACCCTACAAATGGATCCGACCGGATCGGCTTTTACTGTCGATCCATATTGATTTTGAATTAATGTTCGACTAATCACGTGCTCGGAAATCCCTATTTAGACTACTTAGGTTAGCAAAGCATTCGCGTTTGGTTTTCTACATGTTTGCTGAAAAATGCCCCCACTCCTAAAATTGACTACAATACTGGGATGTAACTGGCGAAACTCTTACCGTTTCGCGCAGCGCAACAAGATCTGTCAATGAACTAAATCCTTTGGGAAACAGCTTTCAATTCAAATCTGAGTTCGACTCCTTAGCCTCCGTTGCGCCCAAGAAATCCACATCGTAATCGTTAATCTTCGGCAACCAATGTGCTTTTTAAATATTCGCATTGCCTTTGGAAAAATCCTTGTATGCTCGTTACTGGATGAATTGTCTCTCTATGTGAGCTTCGGCTTTCAAACTCCGTGTTCGTCCTCATAAGAAACCCACATATCTCCAAATTTTTATTTTTAGTTTTCTTTTAGCGTATCAATCAAACCAGAGTCAAATCCCAGTGATGTGATCGCAAAGTCTTATCCACACAAAGTAAAGAAGCGAAGCAAAGTAACTTCCTGAATTTAGAAAAAAATAGAGTGGAAGTCAACGAAACGAAATAACCTCCTATGAGTCGTAGTCCATGAAGTCCGCTTCATCAGCCACAAAGTCGTCATATCCGTCTGCTGCGCCATAGTACGTGTCGTTATCGTAAACTGTCGTTTGATTGAAGATTTGCATCGGAGCATGGTATCCGTGCCCCCACCCACCGCCCCAACCGTATCCACCCCATCCTCCGAACAGTGCTCTACCAAGGAGACTTCCAGCCATTCCAGAGGCAACACCTGGACAATGGAGACATCAAACAAGTGAAAATTACACGCTGACCTATTTGCCACTGTTTTTGAAAGATGTGTGTAGTCAGCTGATTGGTAAAGATTAATTTCAAAGGCTGTTTTGCTGATGTCAGACTGATTAACACTGTGCTGCGATCGCCTACTAGTTGGGCTGATAAATATCAAAACATGGAGGATACAAGTGCTCTAAGGAGAAGCCATGGCAAATATTGTACTCAACTGGACTTATCTCCTTTAAACATGTAGGTGAGTTGCAGCTCCATCACTCGCAGTTTACAACGTAGTGTCTCTGGAACATACGGGTAATTAAGAAGCCCTAAACCATAATGCCTTGGATACATGTGAGGAGAATACGCACACCCGATCCAACTCATTAACCACAAAGGATTGAGTACGTGTTGCTGTGCTGTGTCAGTCGTCTTTACATTTTACTCAAATGGGAAGGCTGAAGCTTTCACGACGGCTGAATAACAGGCGACAAAATGTGCAAACTTTTCCTTCAGAATCGGTACTTATTTAGCCAGTAATTCAAATATATAGCATACGAGTGTTCTCCACAATTTCCTATCCTCCGTCTGATCATTATTAACAAATGCATCCCAACCCAGCTTTGTGCTCCTGAGGACCGTACGGTCACTGATATCTATTGTATTAGTGAGTTCTCGTCGCCGTCGGATCACCCCATTGGTTATCTACGTATCTACGCTCAACCCTTTTCAAAAGTACCCGCCAAATACATCAAATTTTACATGTGTCAATACCATCGGATAATTCTTCGTAGAAATCAAGTCCAGAAGTTTCAGTGGGAAGAATAGCTGAGCCGTAGGCCAAGATTCATCATCATCATCGTCATCATCGTCGTCGCCATCGGCTGTAAAAACCATGTGCTCCCTGTAAGATTGTTCTAGCTGTCACCAATCGTTCACCAATCATTTGAGTATGTGGGGCAAATAGCTGTGCATTGGTTGCGGCAGCTGATATGAATGATACGTTAAAATATTTGTCAGCGAACTTTTAGTCGGGAAGGCTGGAAAGAGATCCATGCATTGAAGGTAATGGCTTCAATGCACGAGGGCCATTTGGCATGCGACTGGATTATGTCTGAAAATGTCCTGTCTCGGGGTCCTCATTCAGAGAGATGGCAATGGCCAGTGCAGCTGAGTTTGCTGGTAAAGGTTTTCATACTTCGCTACCAAAATTTTGTTTGGCTCCTTTCCACCCTTCGCCGGGTTGTGTAAAAAGAACCCTTCGAGGAAGTCGGTCGGCTGGCATAAGGAGCAGCCACCAAAATGGTGTTACCTGTGGAATGTGATCGATTGTGGGCCAGTTACCTCTTCCGGAAATCACTCAGAAACGGAATCTTCATAATTAACACGTGACAAACCTAAAGGATATTCTGTGTTGCTTTTTCATTGTTACAGTTCTGAAATCTTTGTGTGCGTTTGTAGCCATTCAGTAACGAATACATCCGGTGTTGTGTTCATGATAATAAAGTGTTATTCTCAAGATTTTCACCCAAACAGCAAATGTTACTGACCCTCATGAATTGGACTTTCAATGTTTTTGTTACCATATTCCTAACAAAAATCAATTTTGAAGAGATGTTCCGATGGCATTTATTCCACATGCTTCCCGCTGAACTGTTTCCGGATGTTTTATTTAGTTCCACGGCATTTCTCACCATAAACTTTAACTTTAGTTTTGGAATATGGTATACGTTCCAAAGGGAATCCTTATCGGGGGTTACTGTTTCAGGCAACCAAACTACTTCATTAGGATATTGCCTTACCCGTGAGACGCTGCTGAATGGTCGGGATTCTCCGGTCACGGTCTGCATCCATGAAGTTCGCCTTAATTTCGAAGCAAATTCGTTGTTACAGAGGGGTTTAGTAAACAACCGGTGGATTTGTTTACCGAACCCCTCTGAAAAGATGACTTCCCAATCGGTCCCAAGCATTTTCCTATTGATTGAAAAGTTGTTGTTACTTTTGCTATTCCTGTTTTATAACAAGAATTGTTAATGATTTACACTCATTGTCTCCTATAAGCATTTGTTATAGGAAGCTCCCCGCTGAGAAATAATTTAAAATGGGGTGCAGTTCAAACATGGAAAGATGAATCAAATCACTATGAGGAAAATTTGAATGACCTGGAGTACAGAGGCAGGGCGCCAACTGTGTCCTAAATCTCGTTAAATTTAATGGTTCTTCAGTGCTGATCGACTATCTTTACGTGGCAGTCAAATATTCTTCGAACTGTCTTTGTTGTGCTCTTCCGCAGTCCCCTCACCCTGCTGTAATCTCCGGCACCCATTGTAATGTTTATCTTCGCTTCTTCTTCTTCGCCGTACAGTGTTTGGGCCTCGATAAATACACCCCATTGTATATAAATCTGGTTTACACCGGAGACTCAACTGAAACTCCTGTTTATTATATTCTTCAACTAACAATGCAACTAACTGAGCCGCCTCATGTTTCAGTTGGTACGCTATTCGAAATAGCTGTGTTCATTCGTAAAGGAAGCTAATCACAAGTTTGCTGAAGACTCTCTTCGGCAGCCCACGAACGGTTTGGCCCTTCTTGGGGATTACCAGATAGGCGCACTCTCCGAGGTTCCAACAACTCTATGTTGTGTTTTAACCTAAATTGGACAGATTTTAATAAAAACACTCATTTGCACATCACTTTGATTTCTACGGGATACTTAACTGAATCTCTCATTTACGATAATTGGCAACTGAATGTGCTGAAGGGGAAGACCGGCAGCGTGATGTCCAAGAGTTTTCAGCAACCTTGTGAGTGGTTTCTTTTATGAATACATACTGCCATATCTCGAACATCTTGCCAAGCGAATCACGGGGCGGAATCGGTGGATCACATCAACCTGAAGAATATCATTAGCGGGAGATTCATTTGAGTTTCTCATGAAAACCAAGTTGATTGGCAAATGAGTGAGTTTGTCGAAATCTGTGCAATTTGGGTTCAAGTAGAACGAAAGGTTGACGGAACCTCAGGGACTGCGTCTACCTAATGACCCACAAGAAGAGGAAAAACCGGTCATGGTCTGTCGAGGAGTTTTCAGCAATCTTAAGAGTAGTGCATTACAAAAATATATATGTATCGCGATATCTCGAATACCGTAGTGACTGAAAAATGAGGCGGCCTGGCGCAGCACATTCGGTTGCCGGGAAACATCAAAAGATTCAGCTGGGTTCCAGGTGAGTCTCTCGAAAAACCAAATTAGTTTACAAACGAGTGTATATTCGCTAGACTTATGAGTAGTTTACTTTATGAAAATGTTTAGGCCTGTTCACATGTACACATTCTCGTCCTCCAGACGAGCCCAGCACACACGTTTGCACACGCGTGTGCCTGCAGGCTCAGTTTGTTGACCCACTCATTCGGAGTGTCAGTCACTTTTGAACTCTCTTGTTAGTCGATCGTATTTCAAAATATTTGAAATATGTGTGCTGTACGGACTCCGCCAAATAAGCCTAGCTGTGGCAACTCGGTTGGTTGGGATCACCTCGAGTGAATCCGAAACGAGTGTAGCTAGACTTATGAGTAGTTTACTTTATGAAAATGTTTAGGCCTGTTCACATGTACACATTCTCGTCCTCCAGACGAGCCCAGCACACACGTTTGCACACGCGTGTGCCTGCAGGCTCAGTTTGTTGACCCACTCATTCGGAGTGTCAGTCACTTTTGAACTCTCTTGTTAGTCGATCGTATTTCAAAATATTTGAAATATGTGTGCTGTACGGACTCCGCCAAATAAGCCTAGCTGTGGCAACTCGGTTGGTTGGGATCACCTCGAGTGAATCCGATAGCCATGTGGATTGTATTACTGTGTGTGGTGGACGCAGACTCCGATTGTTTATTACCGGACCGTGAATACTCCAAGTCATTTTATATTTTGTTTCACCTAGCACTCTGATCCGGTACGTTGATCTTGGGTGTTCTAAACTGTTAATAGGTCATTTGCGACCACCGTCAAGCTATGGTTTCAATAAAGAGTGTCACATTTGGGAGGTTGTATTAATGTGATGTTAGCCTGGCCCTTTTATTATGATCTCATATTCGAAGCAACAGCTGTATTTGGGTTACATACCCGTGAGTGTGGACTGGTGAACTTTAGCGGAGTAGTCGAAGAAGCTACCATTCTTTGATCGCCGTTTACAAAGAACTGTCTTGGAGCAGTTTTCACGGATTTCACCAAACTGTCCTTATTGTTTTTATGGTTGTAAGGAGATATTCCCACCTTCTGACAGAAGTACAGGGAAGAAGCCAACGTCTCATTGCTAGTATCAATTCTCCCAGGCCCTCCGGCAGGTCTCACAGTTATGACCTTGAGGCTTATGGGGCAAATTTTTCACCAAATGAAATAACGTGGATGTTTGCGGTGTCACGCTTGTGTACCTGAATTTGGTAAGCAGGGGTCGCGTCTTCGAGATCCACCCATGGGCACTTGGATCCACAATCAAAATTTTCAAAACCCATTCGACACCATTTTTCTAGGGTGTACCTTGAATAAAAACCTTTCTGTGCTATTAAATAACCCCATGTTCTGAGTTTCTGAATAAATTTCGTTACATATTGCTAATATTTTATGGATATAATGATACACTTCAACAGAAAATTGAATTAGGCATCCAAAGTTGGTTTCCTTCTCAGGCACCTCACAGCTAGTACTTGCGAAACGTGTATAACCGAGCTCGGTCTTGTCGAAGAGGTAAAACAAATACCGCACGTTTGCATACAGCACGTGAGAGAACGATTCTATTTGGCACAGGCGGAAGATGAATCTTGTTTATCAGCTATACAGCTTTCTGGTCGCTGGAATTTTTGTGAGGAAATACCACAGTATGGAGAACACATGTCGGGTGGATGGGGGAAGAAACCTCAAACATTTGCACTTGCTCACTGTGTGGACCACGAACGCAAAGTATGCCTCTTTTAAGCAGTAAAGCGGTCGAGGAGTTTTGAGCAACCTCACGAGTAATGTTACATCCCTACCGTGCATTGTTATACTGGGGCATTGTACCAACTGAAACATGAGATGGCCTGGTGCAGCACATTCCGTTGAAGGACACCATAAACGAGAGATTCAGCTAGAATTGAGTTGAGTCTCCCGTGAAAGCCTGGCTGGTATGCAAAAGAGTGTATCGTTATCAAACCAGTCGTGCATAGATGAGAGTTTTTAACTTTATTGGTTTCGCTTATGGCAATTTCAGATTTTTTTATCAAAGATTTCACAAATCCTCTCGTAAGGCCAGAGTTTAAAAAAATTCTTATTCATATACCGTGTTTGACTTTGCTTTTGTAGTGAGAATATCTCCAATGAACAGCCCCCTCTGTTTTGGTTTCACGTATTGCATAATGAGTCGGCTGCATATTGGGGCTCCAGAACCTATTGGTTTCCTGCCTCCCGTTATAATGACTGGACGGAACAACCACTCACCGACTGCTGCACTTCCAAGTAGTCCACCTCCTCTGTCAGCAGGCTGCGATGGAACCACTACAACGCGTTCTTGTGCCTCCGGTCGACTTGATTCCTGTCTCGCCTGAACTACGGGAGATGGGTAGATATACATTGGTTGTTGTCCAGCGAAGGGAATTGGGATCATCGGAGCCATCACTGAAGTTGTCGGCGAAGGATATTGCATCGGGTAAGGGCCGAAAGTCGTTGCGTAATGTTGTGCCTGATAAGGCACCTGAACTGGTTGAGCCATTGTGCAAGGCATCGGGTTTGGAGTTTGCGGACCAACCAGAATGTTATGAGGCACGTAGCTTGGTGCAGGTTGGTATGGGGGTGGAGGTGATGATGGCTGGTATGGGGGTGGAGGCGATGACGGTTGGTATGGTGGTGGAGGATAACCCGGATTTTGGAGTGCGTTGTCGTAATTTGGAGTTGAGGGGGCTAAAGTGGGGTGTTAGGTACAAATTACTCCCCAAATCTCATCCAAGTTTGCTGATCAGCGAACACAATTTACTCCATCATTGTGTTTGTGTAGACTGAAATGAGTATGAGTCTAGATCAGTGATATTTTGACTCCACCTCGCCTTCTACTCTTAGCAGTTGATAAATTGGGTCAACTTCACTGTTTGTTGATACATTTTCCTGAAACACGGAACTAAACATTGGAAGGGATGGTTCCATACAGTATGAGCTCACGGCTCCCATTTGTGGACCTCAACTTCGCCAGGAAAGCCATCACTGGACTGTTAGATGGTAACAAATTTCCAAATGCCCCTTTAAAAAGTAAAGGCCTCGGCCAACTGGTCAAATTAAGACTGAAAGCCCATTTTGAATCCACTGAAGAATGTAGGGAACAGCTTCGAGAAACATTAATCCGACTTCTATATCTTGGATTTATCGCAGAATTCGCAATACAAAAACTTAAGCGGAATGTAATACTGTATATAAATCCTGAAATATACATCCGCCGTGCAGACGACAGTCTTGTCATCCGAAGAACTGCACTATGGTGAACATTCCGGCTAGCAAACACAGTTTTTGATGTCATTCACCTCAGTGGGGAAAGGGGACGATTATTAACGGCCATTCTTGGATGTTTTCACCACGAAATTGCCAAATGGGCAGTTACACACTGAAGTCTACAGAAGAGCGGCGCATACATACCGAAGTAAAAGAAGGGGAACACGCGCGAATTTCTGTAAAGAAATGGATATATTGGAAATTTCATGTGAAGAACCCTCAAAAAGCCAACTCGGCCAACTAAACTGAACAGAAAGAAGGAAAACAAGTCACACTTCCTTAAATCAGTAAAATTACTTGGTTGGTAGCAAGTTTGTTACGGTAGCGCCCTAAGAAACTGCGAATACCTTGTAGAGATCACTAGTAAAACCAAAAGGAATTCCAAAGACACTGGTAAGGACTAACTTCATTCCTCAAAATCACGCAGCAAATTCGACAAATCACGTGTGACAAGGAGAAAACAAGCCTTTAAGCTGAATCAATGATTACAAACTTGCAACCTACAGATACGACCAGTTTTTACTCGTTTCCGTACACGGGGATCAGAAAGGATACAAATCCTATTGGAGCAGATTGAAGTGAACAAATACGAAGAAAGAACGTGAATTCACAGACGCCACCGAACTCCATTGTAAATACCACCATCCACATACAAAAAACACCATGAACAGAGAAAGCAGAACTGTACAAGAAACTGGAGCAGCAATATATGGGAGAGGCAGGTGAGTCCAGCTCCAAAGGATTTATTCAGCTAACGAATTTGCATCCGAGGAAACAAGTGACGTACAGAGCGCAAAATGTTGCTAAAAACGAGGGAATCTATTTAGTTCACACCCAAATTACATGCTGATGAGCCCTGATAAGAACTTCCCCCTTTTGTGTGGATTCACCAGAATAATTGCGCCAGGGCAGGAGGACGACTGTTCAAACGACAGTTATGTGAATTTGAACAATACACATTCCGTAAAACCCACGACATAAATCTGATTAGCTCATCAGACTTTAGGGAATCGCCGGGCACACGAACGATAACTACATAAAACACGGAAGTACAAGGGGCCAATAGAACGAAAGAAGAATATGAAGAAACCTTATTTGAGAATGGGCCAATCATATCAAAGAAATACCTACTGAAAGTAAAAATTGCTGTATCAATCAACCACAATGCAACACAAATGGGGGAACGATCGAGGCAAAATGTATTTAAAAAAACAAGTGAGATTAATGCAGACCCCAAGACGGCACAAATTACAGAAAAGCATCCCACTAGTTAGTAAGTCAACTGAATTGGTTTTAGGTAAGCTTTGTAAAAGTCAAAGACGCGATCCCTTTAAAGGAAGTCCCCACTCAACTGCCCATTCATGATGTCTGTCCGATTGCAAGCGAACTGTCGAGATCGGCCACCTGACCAATCGCCCGAGCCACCAAATATTTCCTTGCGATACCGAATTGTAAATACCACCGCCTGACCACGTAACAACACATTTACTAAAAATGGTATTGTGTTGGACGACCTAATGGGCAAAACCAAACGCGCTAGTACATTCACCGGAACTAAAGAACCTGAATCCTTTATCTAAATTTCTAAGATTAATCGAACTTTAGGCACCAGTCATCATATAAAGTGAAACACAGCAATATAAACTATCTGAAACTGCCGGTCCGCAGTTCGCGAGCTTTATCCTGAAGGGCTCACTGCTCATTAGGAAGTAGTGGATCCAGAATTGTGGCTTCCCCACGAACAGAGAGTGATTCAAACCATCGCTCATGTCACGTTTCTGAAAAAACTCGGATTAAAGCTTCCAAACCTGTGTATTTCGTGGGCAGAAATCCATAAAAAGTGGATGCAGTTGTCTCCTTATTGATGGCTTCATGCTGAATCTACGAGGGATGATCATTAAAAACCTCATTAGCGTTATCACTTTAAATGACATATGCGACAGATACTTACCTCCCGGCGGAGAAAGAGTTGGAGCGGGTTCTTTGAACTGTTGGAATGAGAACAAGTTCCAAATTTTAAATCGTTTTGACGAGCTTCTGTGAACAAACTCACAGGGAACCTATTTAATTAAATATTGAACTCTGAACTTAGTTGCAATGTCTCTAGGATGTCCCATTGAGACTCATCATCGACAGTTTGGCATCACTGAATAACGCTGATGCTTTGCCGCCGTGCAACCTTGATTCACCCGAATTAGAATAAGAATTAGAGCAGAAGGAGAAAAGACTTAATACTAGCCTACCACAACCGTTACGAGATGCCTTATCCTCCAGACACTCACTCAGGCAATCTGGGTAGAAAATGATCACAAGAACGCCACTGAAATCCATTACCAGCCATGCCTTGCAGTGTCAAAAACCAAGCTCAGTGTGAAACGGTTTCCGTCCTGGGAGGTAAGTTGCACTGAGAGCCCCCAGACTTGTCGTAATTTCTTTCATACCCCTCTGCCACGTTAAGAGTTTGATACATTTCTGCTCCCGTCATTCTGAATTGGACAAAAAATGAAGTACTCTATTCGGCATGCGTCATACATGGCCTATTCAAAACAGTTTCTGATGCTTGGCATATATATATATATATATATATATATATATATAT